AAAAAAAAAAAAAAAAACGTTGCATAAAAATGTCATCTTTTAACGGTGAAAAAATTCGAAGGGTCCCATTTATTATAAGCTGTTCCTCAGCACCTCAAGTGGGTTAGCGAGGAGATTTTTCAAACCCACGCGCTGTTCGATCAAGATCCTCCAAGAAACTTTCTTTCATGTTATAGGTGATTAATAAGCTTTTTCTCAGGTTAATGAAATTAATCTCTTTTTGGGTTTCTGCAGTTCTTTACATTTTGCTCATGTATTGTTCTTTACAGGTGAAAAAGTTTGTTGCTTTTTGTGTTCATTTTAACAAGGGCAAGCCAATTTCTCAGTAACCCACATTCGAAGGGAGTGTTTGAAACAGGTTTAGAGACTTTTAAGCTTAAAAAAAGCTACTGATTTTTGGATAACAGAGTAATTGATTTTGATAAAGCTTACATTTTTTAAGTGATTTGTTGACTTTTGATAGCCTTTTTCTGGTTTTGGGGTCACACAATAGGTTGGGGAGAAAAGGGTAAATGAGAATGATGATTCAATTGTGCCCTTTTCTTGTTGTAATAAAAGTAGTGATTATGTGCATTTGATGACTTGAAACATAATTTCTAATGGGTTATCTTCAAAAAAAAAAAATATATATATATTTTTTTAAGAAAAAATGGAGTACTGTAATATTCACATTCATATGGGTTATCTCATTCATGAACTTTAATAAGCTAGTCCCTCTTGGTAGAATGTTGAGCTGCTTTGATTATGGCAAGAGTTGAAGACATCGACAATGGTCGATATGATATGAACAAAGTTTCGAATATATCTTGTGCAATAATTTGCTTTATGTAAGTGTAGGAAAATTTATGATGTAGCTAGCTGGAAATGTCAGCTTACTCATCTGGAATGCACTCTTATTTTTACCATACATTCTTATTTGTATACTAAGTTGTTTTCTTGTTTTATTAAATTTATTTTGTATCTTCTTACGTTTTCCATAGTGACTGGGCATGGAAATTGCTGCTGCTGTTGCAACCATCATGCAGTGCCTATGTGCACAATGCTCGACCGTGCCAAATTCTGAAAAATTAAATTCTCTCAGAAGACCAAAAGCTGCTCTGCAAATACTAACAGAAAAGGCAGAACTCCTCGCCGCACGAGAAGCCGACATGAAAACAAAGCTCGACGAGGAAAACATGTTCCGTGGGATGGACCCATCTGCCGAAGTCAAATTATGGCTCAACAATGTTCATAAACTAAATCTCGCCTTGTCTAGTTTCAACGGCGAAATGCAGGCAAAGAAAAGGTGCCTTTGTGGATGTATCCCCAACTACTTCGCTCGACTAAAGCTCGGGAGCTACGTGAGCAAAACAATCCACGAAATCGATAAACTCCTCGAGCAGAGCCGAATATTCAATGAAAGCTCATTGGTTAGAATGCCGTCCGAGAAGGGTAAGCCTTTGCCTACTAGCTCGCTCGTCGGTGAGACTGCCAAAGCTGTTTTACAGCGCGCGTGGGAGTTTTTAACGGACGTAAGTACCGAAACTATCGGGATTTACGGTATGGGTGGTGTCGGTAAAACATCCGTTGTCAAAGAAATCAACAACAAGCTACTGAAAGATGATGAAACTCATTTCGACTTCATCATTTGGGTAACTGCATCAAAAGACTCGAATGTCGAAAAGCTTCAAAAGGACATCGCGAAAGAGGTAGGTTTGTGCTTCGACGAAGAAGACAACGAGACGAGGCGGGCCCGCAAGCTGTCTGAGGCGCTCTGGCGGAGGCGGAAGTTTCTTCTGATAATTGACGATTTATGGGAAGCCTTCTCGCTCGAGAATGTCGGGATTCCTATTTGCGGTAGCGTACGGGTGGGAAAATTGTTAATTACGACAAGGTCGTTGAGGGTCTGCCGGAAAATGGAGGTCGAGCGGGAGATAGAGGTCGGTGTGCTGACTCAGCAAGAGTCGTGGGACTTGTTTCGACAAAAAGTCGGCCAAGAGGTGGTACTAAATTCACCGAAACTACACGAGCTGGCGAAGAAAGTTGCGAAGGAGTGTGGCGGTTTGCCGCTCGCGCTCATCACGATCGGCCGGGCGATGAGAAACGAGCACAAGATCAAATATTGGCAGACCGCATTGAGCGAGCTGAGAAATTCGACAGCTAGCAGCATTGAGGGAATGACTAGCCACGTGTTTTTGCAGTTGAGGTTTAGTTATGACCGGCTGAGAGATGATGTGGCGCGCTCGTGCTTTCTTTACTGTGCTCTGTATCCGGAGGATCATCTTATCGAGACCGACGAGCTGATCGAATATTGGGTTTGGGAGGGCCTCTTGGACGGCATGCCGGGGGGCCACGTGGATAAGATGAAAAGAGGGGAGATGGTACTGAACGAGCTCGTCAGCAGTTGCATGCTGGAGAGTAGTTTTTCTTTTTCCCGACACGTGAGGATGCACGACTTGATAAGGGACATGGCGATCGCGCTCACGAGGGAGAACTCGAGCTTCATGGTTAAGTCGGGCCGCGGGCTGCGGGCCCCACCGGAGGAGAGTCAGTGGGGCCTGGATCTCGAGAGGGTGTCGTTGATGAGAAATGACATAAGCTCGTTGTGCTGCGAGCCCGACTGTCCCAAGCTCCGGACATTGCTGCTGCAGTACAACTCGATCGAGAAAGGGGTCCTCCCGACTTTCTTCAGGCGATTGAGAAATATCGAGGTTCTCGATTTGTCGTACACGGGTATGGATAATTTGCCCGACTCGATTTCCCTACTCGAGAAGCTACGCGCTTTACTGTTACGGAGCTGTTGGAACTTGTCGGCCCTGCCGAGTTTTTCGAAGCTCGAGAAATTGAGAGTCTTGGATCTCACTTACACACCGGTAGAACGCTTGCCGGAAGGTATGAACGTGCTGAACGAAATCCGGCGATTGGGCCTGTCCTATACGAAAATTTCCAACTCCCACACTCTTCCTTTTGCAAATTACAGGTTCTTGGAGAGTCTTTCCTTGTTATGCTTACCTGGGCCCTGTAACGGGCCCGGTAACGGGCCATCACTAGCAGAAGCTTTAGTGAGATGCAGCAACAGTTTGGTCGAACTCGAAGTTAGCTTCGGTTGCATGCAGGAATTTATTCGGTACATCACGTCTGGCTACTGGGGCTGGCTTGATAATTTCAAGTTCTTTGTCGGATTTTCAGCTTCGTCATCCGTGCACGTGGGGAATAACAGCATTGCCTTTTCTGGGGTCGATATAAACGAGACGCCTAGGCCCGTTTGGCTCCCGGATAAAATTCTCGAGCTGGCAATTGACACTTGCTCGGGTATTACTCACTTGCCGGTTTTCATAACTTCGGCTGCTTCCAAGTTACAACGCTGTAGAATTCAAAATTGCGAACAAATGGAATTTGTGCTCATTGAGGAATCATCATCCAGCACTTTGCCGAACTTGGAGTTGATGGAAATCGAAGGTTTGAGCAAGTTAACCAGAATATGTAGAGGAATTTTGCACGAACGAACTCTTGCTAGCCTTCGAGTATTGCACGTTAGAGCATGCAATGGACTAAAGGCTCTTTTCACACTCGAATTGGGACTGCAGCTGAAAAACCTTGTCGAGATAAAACTCGAAAACTGCGAAAAAGTTTTGGAGGTAATTGCAGCAGGCGAAGAAGAGCAAGAAGGAGATGTGCAAATAGTTTTTCCGGGTTTGCAGATACTAAAGTTGAGTTTTTTGCCTGAACTTAAGCACGTGAACCGAGGAGTAATGGTCTGTGACTCGTTATTGACCTTGGAGGTTTACAGGTGTCCAGAACTGACAATTTTGCCCTTTTTTGTCGACATTAGGGACGAGCTAGTTGACTCCCTTAAGCAAATACGAGGAAGTAAAAAGTGGTGGAGATGTATAACGGGGAATCATGAGAATGCCGTTACTCGATTAGAGCCGGCTTTTGAAGAAATTAACGATGGCGATGATTCTGATGATGATGATTCATCGGTGTGTAGTGATGGATCTGAACTCACTCCAAGATGAGGTGTTAAGTATAGCTTCAGAGTTATTGTTTGTAACAAACACTTTAGTCTGATTTAGTTAGTTAGGTATAGCTTCAGAGTTATTGTTTGTAACAAACACTTTAGTCTGATTTATCAGACAAATTTGACATACAATGATTTTCACATTTAGCATTTCAAATGATAGAATTACATTGAGTTCATTCAGACACAGAAAAATTTCTCTCTTTTCTTTCTATACACCAATTTAAAAATAAACTAATTATCCTCAGCATAACTCATCACTAAGGAGTGTTGTAAAAATCTACAGAGGCCTACACCACAATCTCACATTTCCTATCATACACACCAAATGACCAAAGCACGTCAAAATCTTAACCATCAATCAACTGCACAAACACAGTACTCACATCGTTGTCACCTGCAGTAAAATCGACTTTTTCACCGGCCCTTTTTTTTTTATCTCGATAACTAATCCTTGACGACCCATCTACGGCCTCGAATCATATAGCCACTGTAAGTCAAGTCACTACTGCTTTCATTGCCACTTTCGCTCGTGTAACCCGACTTTCGGCGGTGGTGTTTCTTTCTTCTCGAGCTGGCGCTATCGCTCGTGCTCCCGTTGAGTAGTGGGTCGTCTATTCCCCTTATGACCTTCCTTGCAGATGATGACGTGGCGATACAGCTGTCATCTCTCGTTCGTCTCCCCTTTTCGTGCCTCTTTATGTTCTCCGAGATCTTGTGCAGTTTCTGGTTGAATTTGTTGAGCCCCTTCTCGACCGGCTCAACCGCTTGGGTCACTGTGAACTTGACGTCGTTCACAATCTGCGTGAAGGTGAAAAGTACAGATTAGTACGAAAAAAATCGTTGGAAAACAATCTTTAAAAGGATTTTACGTAGTAGTAGAAGTAAACATGTATTATGAAAAGTACGACTTCCGAGTTTAAAACGTACTTATGTTTGCTTCAAAAGAATGATTTGTCAGCAAGTAAAATTTACGAGAAGCCATCTCAGAGTAGACGTATTGGTGGTTAATCAATCAATCAAATTTAGCAAAAAAAGGGGGTGAATTTGAGATTCTTGTAGACAATAGGCAAACATGCATTTTTAGTCCTGTTGGTTTAACGTCGTAGCCTTTTTGTCCTGTAATTTAATATTTTGCCGCAACTTCATTTCAATCTTTTGAGGATCGAAATCGCAACTAAATTTTAAATTAGATGACTGAAATTGCAACAAAACTTTAAATTAAAGGACTTAAATTGCTAATCGAAAATCTGGGAATTTGTTGCAATAAAGAACCGAAATTGCAGAAAAATATTAAATCACATGACCAAAAGGCGAAATGTTGGAACCTTGGGACTAAAATTGTTATGGCTGTTAAACCAGGCAATTTTGCCAATATAATATCATACTCTTAGTTTTCGGGTCGAATGAAACATTTGACAAGAGTGTGGCTCTTTTCCAACAATCGAATGGAAGTTGCTATTGGAATGGGGAAGAAGAAGAAGAAGGAACTTACGTATTCGCCCCCACCAAGAAAAACATCCCGAACACTTTCTCGAATGGCGGTCCCACTCCTAGTTTTGGTGTCTGGTTGTGGAAGACGAAATTTTGTCGGACGTTCACTGTCCCTCACCTCGTCTGGATCTAAAGGGCAATCAACCGAGGCATAATCTCCGAGAACTGCAACACTTCCCGAAAAATGATCTCCAATATACTCGTAAGGCTTTGCCGGGAAAACATAAAGGTGAACTGCAGCAGCAATGCCCATCTGTCCTGGATTGATACACAATCTTTGAAAACTGAAATAACTAATTTTTGCAGTCAAATCGACTGGCTTTCCAAAAAAAAAGTGTATTTTATTTTGAAATTAAATAAATCCTTACTAGATTTGATTCTCGAAAGGTTCTCAACAAATGTGAAGCAGAATAAAAATAATGAAATAATTACCTCAATACAAATAATGAAGTTCTGAACGCTTGACTTGAACTGCAGTGACTGAGCTATTGGACTTTTAAATAAACCAATAGCATAAAGAAGAGCTATAGCAACACCTTGCCACCAAGTTAAGAACACAATTGACTTGAATGTCAAGAACTTGTACAATGGTTTGATGTGCGCTAATTCATCTTTTGTAATGGTATAAAAAAGAATTAAGCAATACAATGCCCACGATTGACTGAAATTTAAAATCACAGCCATGTATGGGTACCTGTAAAAGAGTGAAAGATGGACATTGTTAAAGATGTCAAGCTTCCCCTTTACTCATTTACACTACTCAAATGGGAGCATCAACTTGACTTTGAGTAAACCATACACATACATACACACACACACACAAAAAAAAAAAAAAAAAGGTACGCAACGATGAAATTATTTGAAACAAAATCAATAGAAAAGGGAAACACAAAGAAAATAACAGTTAAGATGGCCGATGCTTGGTTTAACTGTATGAATTATTTCATGTATTTGTGTAGTTAGATAACTCAACGGCATTCTTAACCAAAAAGGAAAAAAAGTAGGAGTAATAAAGGAAATAAAGGCATTCTTATCACTAAAAAAGTTCCAGTTTTGATGTCTTCCATACAATGTACAACAAAAGCTTCACAAATTGCAGCTGCTATAAGAAACTAGTTCCGATAATCTATTTGAAAGATCATAACATGTAACTTACCCACAGTTCCATTTGAAGTCTCCTTCACAATATACATCAAATGCTTCAAGAATTACTGCTGAAATAGCTGTGAATGCTTTTATAATCATCTGCCATCAAAAATTTGAAAGAAATCTTCATGCATTCCGTATATGAGGATGATCAGAATTGACAACATAACTCGCTCAAATTTTGAATATCGAGGCGAAAACTTACATATTGAACAATTCCAAACTTGATGGCCTGATAAACCCACCCACTAAGTTTCCAAGGCTTTAGGAATAAATTCAACGGGAAGGGATGCTTTACAATTCCCCTTTCAGAGCCATGATCCAGTAAGGGAGCTTTTACACTTGCCCGTCCTTCCCTCTCCATAAATTCAATTGTCCTCTCATCTCCACCTAATTTAGCGTGAAAAAAAAAAGATTGGCTGATTTTGGAAAGTACGACTCGGTCAATTCAGTAAAAAGAATAAAATTGGGATAACTATGCCGACTAGCAAATATATACACCTCTCCAAGAAAATGGAGCTCACATACCCAGCGTACATAAAAGGAAAAAAGAAACAAAGTTCGCAACACCAGAAAATAATCAAATAACGAGAATTAGAAAGAACTACTAATAAAATCTAACACACATCTCGAAAGTTTTAAATAACATTCGACTAAGAAGGAACTTAACTCATCATACCTAAACAAGCAACTAGGTACCTCCCAAAGCAGTACATGGCAAAGGATTCGTAGCAATCACGAAGGATTCCAATATGGACGCTAATTGCTGGCTTTACCAAGGACACAAACTGCACAACAAACCATATGTGAGATCGAAACAAGAACTCTAATAACAAAGACGGCAAAAAGAACTATGCCCACACATTAAACAAAGGCAACTAAGCCGTCTAATCGTAGGTCACTCTGTAAACTTTCCAAAGTCGGTTAATCACTAATCACCGAGACACTAAAAGGCCTTTATTTCATACATGTAAAAAATGGGGTCGGTGCCCAAGACAGCACCTTTAATACCATAACAGCTAAACCCACAATCTAATATCACGAGCCATCATAAATCTCAACTGTATTCAGCTAAAGCAAAATGAATTTAACAAAATAAAGCCCTCAAAAGGGTGTCGTCAAGCTTACTGATTCAACAGCATAACATGGTACCATCACTATCACTCCAATCAAAAACTTTTGCTCCTGCAAATCATCACAAGAACAATCAATGACCTCCCAAAGAAAATACGATAAAAAGGGAATAACCAAAAAAAAGGGGAAATAACGACAAAGGCATCAAAAGATGACCTCGGGGTTCTTGTACATGGACAGATGCTCGAAAAGGAGGTAAACCGAAAGGGTGAGAGTGACTACGACGGAAAATCCGGCGGTCAGAACAGCCCATATCGGCGTCGAATACTCGCTGCTCACCAAATTCAGGTAATAGTAACCTGAATTTATGATTTGCTCCAGCATCTATCCTATTCAGCTGATTCCAAGATTCGAGGGACAGTGATTTTTTTTCCCTTTTTATTCTTCCTATTTTCTTGACGATCGAAGCTCATATGATATGGGTTCTTTTGTGTCGTTCTTCTTTTGTCAGAGGGGTTGAATTGGGGAGGGATGATTGGTGGTGATGCCAATAACGGAGACAAAAATTATGGACATATTTTTCTTATTTTTGAAAAGTTTGAAAGTTCCAAATTTGCCAATGACAATAATTATTTATATAAAACACTTGTCGTAGTAGCTCAAATTAGGCATATAAATGAGCAGAGCCGGGCTCGAGCACCAGCTATTAAATAAAAGTGTCAGAAATTGAACTCGAACTTGGCTCGTTAAAGTCTCGAGCTCGAGCCTTAACGAGTTATCGAGCTTTAACAAGTTGAATTATAAAAAATTATATAGAAATTCTCTTTCCGAGTCTTATCGAGCTGGGCCGAGCTCATCTCATTAACCTGACGAGCTTTAAATGAGCTCGAGCTCGGCTCGTTAAAGCCTCGAGTTCGAGCTGAACTCAAGCCTTAACGAGTCGAGCTCGAGCCAAGCCAAACTCGTTTAATTTAACAGCACTAGCTCTACTCGAGTCTTTAACGAATCAAATTGTTAGCTTTCTTGCTTATCGATAACAGGCTTTTATCTGCTTGTTAGCCAAATGTGCAGATACACGAGCCCTGACTCAGTTCATTTATCCATTTTAGCGTGTCTAGTCCTGTAAACGAGTCGAGTTGACCTCGAGCATAGGTGCTCGAGCTCGAGTTGGAGCCCTTAACGAGCCAAGTCGAGCTTGACTCGCTAAATAAACGAGTCAGAAATTGAGTCGAAACCTTAACGAGCCGATCTCGAGCTTTAGCGAGCCGAATTATATAAAATTATATAATAATTCTCTTTACGAGTTTTATCAAGTCGAGTCGAGCTCGGCTCGTTAACCAACGAGCTTTAAATGAGCTCGAACTCGAGTCGAGCCGAGCCAAGCCGAGCTCGCTTAATTTAACAACACTAAGGGTGTCAAGTTTGAATCTTAAAGATCCAAACTCAAGCTTTATCTAAATAAAAAAAAAAAATTAAAATCTTAATGAGTTGACCTTGTGCTCGTCTAGTTTATTTGACTAATGATAAGTCAACTAGAGCTCTCCGTTTCGTTTCGTAACTCTAATAACAACCATAACCTATATCTCGTATATATCATTCTATGTAGATCAAATTAATGTTATTAAAGCACAATTTTAGGTTTAGAATCGCCCTTATATATAATTACTGAATGCATTGAGTTTAAGTGGCAGTCTCGTGTGCTTCGTAAGCTTATTTGTAAAAACTGTACTTCGTATTGACAAATGCAAAGGTTTGGTCTTAAGTTACCATATATCATTCTTACCTTTTTCTTATTTAATTAATGTATTAACTATCATGAATTAGTATTCTTTTTTATATATAAAAATTTGTAACTTTTTTATTTATGATATATTAAAATAATCATATTTAAACTATATTTGATTTGACATCATATTGCATATATAAAATATAAATAATTTCATCTATCTTTGTAAAACAAAATTAATTTTGTTATCAAATAAAAATATAAATTATTTTACAAAAAAAAAAAAAAAAANNNAAAAAAAAAAAAAAAAAAAATTCTAATACATCAATACACCATAAAATAATTAATTTAATATGTTTTTTCATATATTTTGGATGAAATATGGAAATTAAGTATTACTAAAATAAAATATTATAAGTATTATAAAAAAAATCTCAATTTAAATATATTATACAAGTAGCTAAATGTTATTATGTTGTTTAAAATGTAAAATGTAAAGGAATTAAATATAATAAAATAATATTGTGTTTCATAAATTTATAAAATAATACATTTATCCGTAAATTAATACTCTAAATAATTAAATTATACAAAATTAATAGCATAAAAAATAAATAAATTGAAGACTCTGACTCTATAAATATAAAATATAATCACAATATAATAAAATTTATTTTGCTTTAAAATAATTCGAATAAGATATATTGAGTTGTAAATAATATCTGTTTTAGACATATATAATTTAAAAAATATCATTTTTGATAAATTTAGTGAATAAATACGGGCGCCATATTGAATTAGTTATTACTTTGTTAATTGTTGTATATAATCATTATACACAATTTCACTATAAAAATATAAATGGTTTTAATTTTTCATTGTATTAGTATATTTAAGCACCCCTGTAGTACATGATAATTTGAAGGCTCAGTTGAATCAAGAGTTTGAGATGAAAGGCTTGGAAAGCTAAGAAAATACTTGGGATGGAGGTATGCAGGGACATAATGAGATGAAAGCTTTATTTGACTCAGAAGCAATATCTGAATAAGGTACTACAATTTTTCGGCATAAAAGATGAGTCGAAGCCTGTAAGTACACCATTTGCCCCTCATTTTATGTTAAGTGTCCAATTATCGCCAATTGGTTGTAGAATAGAACCTATTCGGGTTTGTATGTTGGGCTTGATGGAGAACTGGGTTTTGAGTTGTTGATCCTAACAGTACACAGGTATCTTATACAGGTATCTGACCCCCCAGACCCCAACCAGTTGGGAATATACTGGGTATGTTGTTGTTGTTGTATTATCTTTCACAAATCATGTTCTTGTCTCTGCAATTCAATGTTAAACGTCATTTGTAAATGCAACACTCTCACTATATATGCAGCATTGTTGTATTGTGGCTGGTTTGGAGCTAGTTGAATCTCCAGAAGTAATTCCATTTGTTGTGGAATCTACTGATGATGCACCAAAAATGCCTAAGGCTAAGAGAAGGGGGATCAGTTTAGGGTCCGCGGAGATCATCTTCGGGCCCCGTGCAGATTTTTTGGGCAAGCAGGCCCGGACAGATGCTGGGGGGTGGCCCGAGATGGCCGCCACCGATCAGAGCAGTAGAAAATCTACAGAGGAATTCCATTTGTTATGCAGCTCAAATTGCAGATTTTTGGGACAAAAGAAGTTAAAACGGTCATATGCATCCAAGGAACACTATAAAAGTCACTTAGAGAACATTTTGCAATCTTAAAAAGGCTTTGGCATTTGAGAAAAGGGTACCTTTTGACCCTTTTGTGGCTTAACACTGCATTCAAAAGGCTATAAAAAGAACCTTAGAAAGATACACAGTATAAAGAGAGAAAATAAAAGTGATTGTATGAATATGAAAAATTCATCAATGAAGGAAAATTAATAACAAATCAGTTTTTTTTTTTTAAATAAAAAAAAAAAAA